GAGAAGCAGTTTATACTCATATACTCTTCAGAGTGTCAAAAGGAGCAGTTTATACTCTTATACTTGTCGGAGTATTGAGAAGCAGTTTATACTCGTATACTCTTCGGAGTGATGCACCGTCATTCGGCTTATTCTAGCTTTATGGCGCCAGAGTCGATTAAGGCTTGAATCTTGTTCTTTAGACCGAAACAAACCTCAGTAGGATGGAGAACTCTCCTGTGGTACGTACAGTAGTTTGGGTCCGTAATCCTCTTAGCTCCATCCTGATCTTTAATAGGTGGTAGCTCAATCTCGCCGTTATTCAAGAGGTATTCAAAAATATCTGGAACTTCCTCATCCTTGAAACAATACTCTTTTTGGAGTCTCAGATCTGGAGTCCTTTGCTGCTTTTGAGGTTGTTGTTGTAACGCCAGATTTTTATCAGCAGCAACCACATGCATTGACTGCTGTCTTCTTTCGCTCTTCTTCCTTCTGAGGAATCGTTTGGCTTGTTCGCCGCGCACCTTCAAGTCTTTTCATGTCTTGGACGGGTTTAATCCCATAACTCCCAACACATCCAAAAAGAGGTTGTTGTGGCAAGTTTATAGGATGAATTCCTCAGTGATCGGATCTCGGCAATTTATCGCCTTGCTCCGGAAGCGTTTGACAAAGTCGGTGACTGTTTTCCCATCCTTTTGTTTCTCCTCAAAGAGTGTCCTAATGGATATCTCGGCGTCATCATCAAAGAAGTTGTTGAGGAATGAGCTCTCCATATCGTCCTAGCTGTTGATGTTTCCAGGCTTGAGATGGCGGTAGCAATCGAAAGCAGGCCCACGGAGGGTGCCAAAGAATGACCGAACCATCAAGACTTCATTGCCAGAAATCATGCCCAAGTGGTATTTGAAGTAGATCAAATGTTGAGTGGGCTATCCCATTCCGTCGAATGGCGTGAAGTTGATTAGATTAAACTTTGCCGGATACGGGATCGAATCCCACTCTCTTGGGTAAGGACACGGAATCCCAGTCTTCTTCACCTCTTGAGCAGACATCAAAGCGTCAATTTTGCTCTCGAGATCCTTTATCTTTTCGTCCTCGTATGTATCATGCTTCAGACGATTTCTGAGAGGAACAACATGCCATCCCCATTGTTGTTATCATTGGTGGGACCACCCCCAGCATTTTGGTCAATAGAGGGGTTATCAGCATTGATGTGTTCATCCACATCTGAATCGCTAGCTGCTTGGCTGACATCGCTATGACGACTGGATTCAACTATCTGATTCGATAAGGCTCGGATCTGTTGGTCGTGCATTTGTCTCATCTCATGCATAGCCATTTCCATTTCGATTTTGAATGCTTTCTTCTGCTTGGCTAGAGCATCCTCAACCATTTTGGTTACTTCCTTGGTGTTAATCATAAACACTTCACGGGATTTTCCGGGACTGGATACAGTAGCCTCTGAAGCGACTACCGAGCAAGCGTCTGACGCTTCATCGTCTGAGGATAGTCCTCAATTCATCCTCAGATAGTCCCTATGTCTAGTAGTTCCTGCGTGTAGCCGAGTCAGACGATGTGAAATGAGGGGGTCTGAACTTGAGGTTCGAGTCGATTTTTCCTTATCAACCATGCTGGTGGTGACCGCGGGTTGTTCAGGCCCGATGACTTCTAACTGGAGCCGAGATATTAGTTGGGCTATCCCCGAATTGACTCTTCTTCCTGGAGAGAAATTAGGGTTGGAGCTATTTGAACTAATCGGAGACTTCCCCTTATCGACCACGTTGATAGTGATTGCTGGGAGTTTGTCATCTTGAACAACTGATCGTCTTTTACGAAAACGCCTTGATTTGGGCTTTAATGCTTTAGTGGAGATCCTCTCGAATACCGAGACTCTCTGCAAAGCGGTCTTGGGGCAGCTACACGCTGATAATACTATCTTGATTAGTTTGGTACACGGATAATGAAAGTCCGTCTCCCGGGCACTTCTCTTTTGAGATTTGTTCGTACCCCCAGCCCGATAGTACAACTCATCGGCATGATTGCCGGAGCAACCTATCATGTGCCGACATAACTTCCCAGATATAACGTTATCATCATCAGATGAATACATTTCATTCTGGGGATATAGTGCTTTGTTAGCATCTTCGAGAGTCACACGTTTGGAGTTACGCCTTTGTGAGCGCGGGACCTCAATGGGCTTTTGGACTTTGACTCACAGTCCGATGCAGTCGGTTACCAAAAATTTCCCTTTATGAGAAAACTCAGACTTATTGCAAGGACGAGTGCGACCCCCAGCTCGATGAGTTGCTTGGGGTTCAGTCACCGGACCCAAACGTTCTTTGATCGGAACTTTGCCTCAATCTACGTGTAAAGGACCCAGGCGATCTGTCATCCTCATCTTGACTTAGGACAAGTTCACGCCGCCGTGGGGCTCTACTGGAGGTGTGTGATGCATTGGGACAGAAATAGGGGCTGTCGGAAGCTTAAACGGGATTGCGGGAGATGAACCAGGTGCGAACCGAACTAAACCGGGTACGAACCGGTGCGAACCACCACTTGGTGGCTCGGCTTGGGCCAAGCCACCATTTGGTGGCTCGGTTCTGGCCGAGCCACCAGATGGTGGTTCACACATTCCGGCAGTTTCGGGTGCTATTTGACTTTTTATCGACGCCGTTTTGGACTTTGGTTTCCAGACTTGGCGTGGTTCCGGTGGCTTCTTGATCACCTATTTTTGCCTCAGCTTCTGTGCTTCTTACATGAGAATCCATGCGTGCGCAATCAAGGCGCGACACTTCTGAATGCGCTCCTCGAGGGTTAAGCGGGCCCGTTTGACTTGGATCCAATCATCCGCTGTTGGTTTGAATGAGAGGACATCTGTTTGCTGCTGGGACACTCGGTGCCTTATGAGTTTCATATCCGCCTCATAGAAGATCCCGTCAACAGGCTCCAATGCTTTGGCGAATTGGCGCGCGAGGCGTTGGTGCTTCCTTTGGCGAGCTCTTTTCGATAAAGTTGGCACGCATTCATTACTCAACTCCTTGATTGAGGAAGAGTTCAGATCTGTAACTCTGACTTCATTTGAGGTCGGAAGGGCGTTTCGAGGTGCAGCTATTGCAGCAACGGAGGCGTTGATCTTGCGCTTGCGAGGAGCAGAGGATCTGGAGGAGGACGACGATAGATATTCTTCGAACTTCTGTTGCTCGAACTCGTATTTGACCTCTTCATCAACTAGGATCCGGATCTGAGGTTGCAATACAACAGTCTCCGCAGTGAGACTGTTGACTCCCACTATGGTCGCCAGTTTGTTTCTGTCAAAAGTTGCTTTCATTGTGATCAAACCTGTTACACCGTTTATCGATTACAAGTTCGAAGAAAACAAATAAAAGTTGATCTTTTTATAAGATCTTCTTATAATGAAAAATAAGATTATAACTTTATCAAACAAAATGCAGAGGACATTTATCACTCGCTGCTTTGTGTGGGATCTTTGCCTGTGCTGGGAACGCGTTAGTCCGTGGACAGTCGCGGATCAGATCCGATTGACAAATTTGATTAATACTCTTGTTTCACGAAGGAAACAATCACAGCAGTGACAATCATGACCAAACGGGATTGTGGCTCTTTTCAAGATCAAAACAAAGTTTAATCCGGAGGAAGGAGGGGGAGAGAATCTCAGATCTTTCGAAAGCATTTTCTTTATGAAAAAGTTCACCAAGATCTGCCGATTCTCCTTTGAAATTCATGATCTACTGTTCAATTGGACAGCACCTCACCCTCAGATTTTAGATCCTTTTAAATGAGGGTTCTGGACTTCTATTTATAGGCTTTTGACGCAGCGTCTTCTGATAAGATCAAGTGTTTTGACATCATCTGCAGTTGATAACCGCCCAGGCACACTTAAGGATAGCTTCAGAACAGTTGGGGAGGTCCTAGAATAAAAGAATCCTTAAAAACATCGAAATCCACATTTGGGAGGTTTTGGTAGGCCCAGATGGTCGTAGTGACTCGAAGGTGTGCAAGTCACCATTTGGTGACTCGGAGCCTTGCGAGCTAGTTTGTACTACCTTGAGTATTTTAACTCTAACTCTCTCATCTGATCTCGTAATGAGGTGATTCAGGATGCGTTAGAAAGATGACGAAAAAACTTACAATTTTTGTGTTTTGGGTTTCTTCAGAATCAAATCACAACATGGTCGAAATTTTACTTCTTTGTGCGAGTCACCATTTGGTGACTCACATGGGTGCGAGTCACCATTTGGTGACTCGCAGCCTTACGAGTCAGTTCGTCTTTTCTTGAGTATTTTAGCTCAAAGTCTCTCGTCCTATCTCAGAATGATGTGATTTAATATGCGTTGGAAAGCTAACGAAAAGACCTAAAACTTTTATGTTTTGAATTTCTTCAGAATCAAATCACAACATAGCCGAAATGTTACTTCTTTATGCGAGTCACCATTTGGTGACTCGCATGGTGCGAGTCACCATTTGGTGACTCGCAGGCTTGTGATCTAGTTCGTACATCCTTAGGTATTTTGGCTCTAACTCTCTCGTCCGATCTTGGAATGAGGTGATTCAAGATGCATTAAAAAGCTGGAGAAGAAACCTACAAATTCTAATAGCCGAGCCACACATGGTGTGTGCGAATCACACATGGTATTTTGTCCAATTGGTGGCTCGTAGCCTTCTCTTTGTCTCGAGCTGTATGCAGATACCTATATGTATTTTTAGATGCCTAGGTAGTTGAGTTTGTCATTGCCGGTCGCGGAACCTTTGAGTCTTTCAGGCCTCTTTTCACAAATAGTCTGAGTGGCGTCAATTACGTGGGTGACGTTCACTGTGTTGAACGTTGCTCAGAGGTCGTCACTCACTTAGACGAGAAACTAAAAGCTTTAGAGGACTTGGGGCATGTGGATATTAGAGCTCAAATTACATCAAATTTTGTTAATATCCAGACTGAAGAAGCGAAACGGTATGAAATAGTTCAGTAGGGCTTAGCTGAGAAAGAACTCCGAGTCATACATTTGCAGAAGCAAAGTATTCAAAAGCAAGAGGAGCTGACTATTTCAACGACTACTTTAGAGGTTGCTCGATCAAGGATCAGACAAACTAAAAAGGCCATTGTTCACTTACAAGCAGAATTAGTCCGGCAGAAGGCTCAATTTACTCAAGATGAAGCTATCACGACCATACTCAGCCTCCATGCTACAGAAACTCTTATGAATTATCATAAAGAAGTCCAGGCTCTTGAAAAGGCTAAGAAAGAAGCTGCTGCTGCGGTGCCCAAGGAAGATGAGCTCTGGAGAAGAGCTGAAGAGACGGTACGAGCTGCCCATGAGGAGAAGCTCTCCGATATCAAGTCCCAGCTCGCACCTATTCCCTTGATGGAGCCTTGAACTTTAATAAATTTTTTTTATCATTCTTTTAACAAGAACAATATTATCTTGTATCACTTCCTTTTGATTTTGAATAAAAAGTGAAACTATTTTAGCTTTTCACAGTTTCTTTTGTGTGTTATATTCTAACTTAAAACAATGAAAAAAAATATAATTGAAAATGCCAGAGCATAATTTCCCACATAAAGTGGATTTAACGCTTTTCTTTATTATCATTTAAGATAATTCTATAAAATTTCAATCTGCTGTGGACGTTTATTGGCTCTCAGACTTGATATTCTGTTTAAAAATCTTCAAACCCTTGGAGTTGTATTAGCGATTATCATTCTCATGAAAAGAATTAACAAGTTCATTTCTTCCTGTATTGCGTTTTCACTTGAAACACTGAAAGAAACTTGTAAGCGCCAGAGGTGTAATATTAACGTGGCATGAATTTTCACTTAGAGTGAAATTCAGAAATTTTCTTTCCTTTATTACCACTCAGGGTAATTCTAGAAAAGTTCAATCTGCTAAGGATTTTATGAATACTTGTTACTCTTATGCAAAAGAATAACTAGGTTCAAAGGGGGTTTAACTATCAGAGGTATAGTGTTAACATAGTAGAGATTTGTAGACCTATCATCCTATTAAAGAGGATTGATAAGTTGATTGTTAAAGGTATGATATTAACATGATAGGAATGATTGTCAGAGGTGTAATGTTAACATGATAGGAATGATTGTCAGAGGTGTGATATTAATATAACTAGAGCTTGTTGCGATCAGAGCAACTTTGAGGACCTATCACTCTATTAGGGAGAGTCGATAAGTTAATTATCACAGGTGTAATGTTAAAGTAACAGGAAAGATTTTCAGAGGTATAATGTTAATGTGACACGAATTTGTGTACTTGTGACTTGAAAAAGATTTTGAGAATTAGTGTCTCACTGGGGAGAATTGCTAAATGAGTTTATCATCAGAGGCGATGAATTTTGGTACTTGTGATTTGAACAAGATTCGGGAAACTTATCACTCCGTTGAAGGGAGTCGATAAATTAGCTATTTATTACTCTGTCTAGGAGAGTTAGTAAATTGATTGTATTTTGAGCTATTTTAGGGCCTTATCGCTCTGTTGGTGAGAGTCAATAAGTTAATTTTAACAGAGGAATTATTGTCACATCGGAGGTAATGCAAGCTAAATTCAACCTCTGTGGGGATGATGGTCGTCATAAGTGTAATGCTAACTTAATGACAATAGGAAATTTTGTTGGCTGATATAGTTTAGACCCTACTGTGGATGTACAGAGGTTTTAACAACACTCCGTTAAAAGGGTTCATGATACATGACCTTGGAGAATAAGTGTCATGTTTGAAAACACAAGGGTGAACCCTTCATTTGGAATAATTAGAACGCAAAGGTAGCCTCTGCGTTTAGGGTTCGAAATGCAGAGTTAAACTCTATGTTAGGAACTCTTACAACGTGGGTCTGGACCTAGCGTTTGAAATTTGAACGCAGATGTGGGTTCTGCGTTGGGCTTTAAAGTCGAATCGACTTTATCAATTAATGTTCAGATTGCGTTTTAGATGGTTGGGATTCTTCCTTAGAATCATGTGCCACCTTAACAGCTTGGCTACTATTATAAATAGACCTCAGCGGTCAAATCAAGAGTCATTCGATTCTTTCTTATTTTCTTCTTGCTTTCTTGAACGAGAGCTCTCGTTATTTAAAAAAAAAACTCCTCAACGACTTTTGTCTTCTCTGACCGTCGACATCAATGGCACTAAGAAGGATGAGCTCTGGCTCTAAGAAGGTCATGGAAACGACTTTGGAAATGTTGCCGGCTAAGGACACTGGCAATGTTCTTACTTCCACGGTCACGTCGTTGTTGCCTACCACTGCGTGCATCTATTTGATATAGTAAGCACGAATACCATAACTTTTTTCGACGAGTTTCTTTTAGCCCTAGATGGGTTTTGAGTCAATGATGATGAGGAAGATGGTTCATCTTGTTCTAATTAAAACGCAGAGATAAACCTCTGTGTTAATTACAAAACCCAAGGTTGATCTCTGCGTTTTAAGATTAGAACAAAAATTTTGGCGTTTGCGTTTAAGGCTGACAACACGGATCTTGATCCCCTACATTTGAGATTGAAAACACGGGTCTTGACTTTTGTGTTTGAAACACGGGTGTTGACTTCTACATTCGAGATCTAAAATGCGGGTGTTTTGACCTCTGTGTTTGAAATTAGTCTTTTGGACTTATATCAGTAACTTGCTTCAGCTACTAACTCCTGCTTTTTGTTTTGCAGTGCTTTTCCCCAATGTGCTGCTCTCTCATGATCGTCATTTTGGGTACACTAGTGGTCTAGATGATGGCGAAGCTTTTGGTTTCCATGAAAGAATTCCACTATGTAATTTTCCTGATTTAGAGCGGACGTACTAAATCATGGAAGCCAAATGTTCCACCCTTAGAATTTTGATCACCAACTTTGACATGGAGACACCGGCATGCCATAACTAATTCATAAAGCCAGTGTTTTTGTTTGGAGATCGCAATAGCGGTGTATGATAGACTTATACATATGGAAGACTCCAGGCTACTGTGAAGAATCAATGACTGTTTCTTTTTTCTCCTGAGCATGAAGAGAATGTATCCGCTCTCCTATTTTCTAAGTGTTAGCTACCGTAGGAGTTTGGCTTTTGACCTTGCCAAGGAGAAGGAGAACGTATCGTTTGGATCTAGTCGGCGAGCTTGTATACAAATTGATGGACAAATCAAAGATCTGATACCTGGTAGATTTGAGAAAAAATATCTTGCTCAAGAGATGCCCCTTCCGGTGAACGTTTTCATCTGCCAATTTATTGTTGCCCGGGGTGAATTCCCTGTGCAAGCTTTCAGGTCCCCTAGATAGGTATATTCAGTAGAAGGGGGTTGGTGGACCCGAATGGTGGACTTTGTTCTTAAAGAACTCAAGGATTCACTTGCTCAGTCTGGCCTCACAATGATACGAGTCTCCGTGTGAGCACCCTTTGGTCGTGGAATTACCAAAAGGTGGGTTGAGAAGAATACAACTAAAATACAAGAACAATTCAGTATGGCGAAGGAAAATACCTTCTCTAGATTATGAAGAATCAATTATTACAAATCTCTCCCTCACAATCTCATTAGAATCGAGAACAACCTCTCAATCCTCTCTAAACCCTAATACAAAGATTAGAATTTCTCTCTGATCTAAGATCTCTAAGATGATCTGATGTTTAGAAACCCTAAACAACCCTTTATATAGGTGTACAAATGTGAATGACAATCTGGTAAATAACCAAGCCTAAACCCAACAGGAAAACACATGAACAGAAACCCAAACGAACCAGGAAAGCTCCGATGAGTCGACTGGTCAGAGACTTTTGCTAACAGGGTTTGATTTTGTGAGTCGACTCATGACAGGTATGAGTCGACTCAACCTGATAAGTCGACTCATGTACATGTATGAGTCGACTCATGACAGGCATGAGTCGACTCAACCTGATAAGTCGACTCATGACAGGCATGATTCGACTCGTCGTCTTGTTTCACGCTTCCACCTGCATTCCACTGTACTATTTTACACCCCTATTCTCATGCTATCATGAGAATCATCTATCCTCAAGCTTGCATGAGGATCGCTAAGTTCCGAAGAGAAGATACACACGTATCATGGGTCCCCTCTTTAGGAACTTGAAGTCCCGTTCAAGTTAGAACTTTTGCTGAGGAAACTCTCGAGCTCCTCCATCTTTTCTGCACCACCTGGCCTTGTTAGGAATCCAGTCTTAATGTCCAATCGGAAATAACTCATTCGTCCCGCGTCTCGTCGTAGTCACCGTTCGCTCCAAGTTGCAATCCCTTATCGATGGCTTTTCTAGAAGTCTAATGCACAGCGAGACAAACTTCTTGCTTGTATTCACTAGTCTCTTCGCTCGCGTCACCGTCCCTAAGATTGTCTCCCTCAGAAGAGATGCCGAACGAAATATCAACTTTACACCATCCTTAGTGAAAGTGTACTTCTGAGCCCGCCTCTCGTAGATCGCATATCTATCACATAAGTACGGATTGCCTAGTATAATCTGACAAACATCCAATGGAACGATGTCGCATGTGACCTCATTAATATACGACTCATGGAGCGCAAATCTGACAGTGCATTGATCAACTACACTTAGTTTCTCCTCCTTCTGAATCCACCCCAATGGATAGGGCTTCGGATGCTTGACCGTCTTCAGACCCAGCTTCTGAACCAATGCCTCAGATATCAAATTCTTCTCGCTGCCCGAATCAACAATGACATCAATCAAACTGGTCTTCGCTTGCAACTTAAGAACAAAGAGTTGCTCTCTCGGGTCGTCGTCCTCTTTCGTGATCTGCTTCCCCACCATAAGGTTGAGACTACTGTTGGGTTCTGTCATCCACAGGACTTCTTTCGGACCTTGAGCTATCATGTATGCCTTTTTCTCCTCCTTCTTCTTCAACCCTCTTGGCTTGAGATGATGATACTTCTCCCAGCACCGATCAGCTGTATGCCCTGTCTTCTCGCAGTGACTACAAATCAGCCCCGCTTTCTCTGGATCACCCTTCTTCTTCTCCTCCTTAGATTGAGAACCACTAGACTCGCCTCCCGTCTGTTTGGAGTCTCCCTTAGCCTCGTTGTCCTTCTTTTGCTTGCCCTCGAGGGCAATAGACTTCACACTCGCCTCTGCAATTGATTCCACCGTAAATAGCTTCGTCTCCTTTCGGATGTAATCGCTCAATCCCGTTATATACTTCATAAACACGGAATATTTCTCTATCGCAATGTTGAGGACTATCGCTTGTTGCTGGAACTTCGTGGTGTATTCTTGAATGATTTGATTGACCCTTTGGCATAAGCCATACCACTTGTACCAACGCTCTTTAAGGAATCCCACCGGGTAGAACTGCTTCCTCAGTAACTTCTTGAACTTATCCCACGATACCGCCTTCTTCTCCTACTTACAGTAGGATTTTCACC